TTCTAAAAGCAAGTCCCAACCATATGCATGATGTTTTAAAGGGCCTTATTTCAATCCTGACAAACGAGCACCAGATGTTTCTTTTTTTATTGTACTTGCATTTCATGTAGTCATTCAACATTTCAGGCTCATATTAAGGTCTTAGAAACTCTCTCTGACCCACCTCTTGCCCCATGAAAAAGAGAAGCAGTGAGAGAGAACGAAACTGAGAATAAAATATAATAATTCTGATTAAATACAGCAAATAAATGAAGGAAGAACTGAAGGTTTTCCACAAAGAGAAAGAGAAGATAGGGTGAGAAAAATGTCTGGGTTCAGTTATCATCAAGCACAGACCAATTGTTAGAAAATCTCTCATGAAGAACAATGCTTTTTGCTCTTTTTTATTTTGTTATTCCTTTCAAAACAGCAGTGCCCTGAAATGTTCCCTTTGACCTATAAATGCCATAACCTGGAGATTAAAAGGCTGTAATTACCTCTAACTGTTCTGGCTTCTCCACAGGTGACAGCAGAGATGAGGTTGCTTCCATGGAGGAGGGAGCCTAGCTTTTACAATTTATTTGTTTCATTAACTGTTTTATTTCTTCTTTTCTTCTTTGAAGCAGTTGTTCATTCAGTCCAGTCTCACCTCATCCATTCTGAAGGAACCATGTCCATTCTGAAGGAAAGTGCTCTCCAGGCCCAGCTTTCCTCTGACCAGCACCCCACAAGGCCACCTTGGGGTGGAACTGCACAGTGCCACCCAGAGAAAGATCTGTTCCTGCAAGTGTCAAGTGTTATTTTCATTCCTGTTAGGTTCAGCTACTGCCAGTTTTAATTTTCTTTTCCATTTTTGTCTGGCCCAAGAACTTTTCACTGTGTGTTGACTGAATACATTGAAAGGCTTGCTTTCTTGCTAGAGAAGCAATTTAAGTGTAAGCTTAAAGCAATGTCCCTGTGTAGGTATACACTGAGTTAGAGCACATACCAAGAGGTTGAGAAAAGGGTTCCATTCCTTGATCTACCACTGACTAAATTCGTCACCTTGCTTCAGATTTCACCCATCTGTGAAATGGGATAATGATCCTTCCTTAACTCACAGGGCAAGAATGTCATTAATATTTGGACTTGGTTTCAGATTCGTGAAGAAGAGCTTTTCCATTATATAATTTCCCTGTTCTGGCCAGCACTTGGACTAAAGATGCAAGTGTAGTTCCAACTCTATATCCTATAAAGTCTGATGGCTGGGTGCGGTGCCATCACCTGGAACATGCAGTGCCTTTACGATGGATGTTGTGAAAAATAAGACAAGAGATTGGTCTAAAGCAAAGACTTGATTTGACCCTCTGTGACTTCAGGGAAGTTTATACTTGACTCCACATCCCAGTTTAGCTGCTTGGGACCAGCAAAGGCAAACCTACCACTGAAAATGTACATGAAGCTGCAAAAAAAGGGAAGAAAGGGGACTGCAGCTGAAAAAGATATAATGAAGAAATAAGTAAGCAGAGGAAAACAACAAAAAAAGGTGAAAGCTTATCAAACCTTCCTGCAAGCAACTAGACTAATTTCAAAAGTGGAACTCTAGACTGTATTAGGAACCAATTTTTTGTGGCTCTTGCTTTTGCCTCAACTGCTCTGATGCTAATGCTCTGCAATGTTGATGGGCGCGTTATACGTGCTTATATGCTGTCTTTCCAGAAAAATGTATACATACTGTCTGTAACTGTCATCCTGGAACTTGGAGGGGACAGATATCTGAAATAAATGAGCAAACAGTGCAAACGTCATTCCAGTTCACTCCCAGGAACACAGTCCCTTAATGGTTTCCTAGAGGCACATCAGGCAATGTAAGCTTTCCTCCACAACTGTCCAGAATCCCCAGACACAGAAGGGTGCGGAATGATGAATGTTTCGTTGTGAATGCACACCCGTTGCTGCTGGAAGGAGGTGGAGATTATCTTGATGCTGCTGCCCCACAACGGGCAGAGGGTATAAATCTGCACGTGGACTCCAAGCCGTGTAAGAAGTCGGCCTTTGTTTCTGCAGCGCCTGCGGGTTTCTGTGACTGATCCCACACTGAACCTTAAGATGGAAAACCAAACCCCTAAGAAGGAAAACCTAACCCCAAATTGATGGATCAGCTCTGAAAGGGACCTATAACTGAATGCAGCCCTCTGCAGGTACAGTTACGTGACACAGTCCCTTTCCTAAACTGACAAGGTCTTTCCATCTTAATAACCACTGAAATACATATTCCTGTATTACCCACGTTGGCGCACACCACACGTAACTTCAAATACCATTGCAATTTTCCTCAAACCCAGTAGTAAGTGAATTATTCAGCACGGAGGGAAGAGAGGAGTTGACACATCTAACAACATTTCGTTGCTGTAGTTCATATACCTGCAGAGCTGAAGCTCCCAGTTAATTATGTAGCCTTACTGTTTAATGGAGGTTCATGTGTCTTCAGGGCCTCAATAAATCAAGGCTTACTTGGCAATCATCTTCTGTGTAAGGCTGGGCAGGTCCTGAACTGTGAATGCCCACCTGAATTGTGATTGCAATAGCTGGCCACAATGGAACTCAGCCTATTATTTTGGAAACAAAATGTTCTGCTCGTGGTTTGTTCTCTGCAACCTAAGATTTGTGCCGGGAAATGCCTTTTGCAATGCTTATATGACACCTCAAAGTCTTGACCTAATTCACTTCTATGTGTTAGCACAATATCAGGGTGATTATAATATTTTCAAATACATCAGGTTTTTCCCTTGTAATACTGTGTAAAAATCCTGGCATTTAAACACACATACATTCATAAAATACTACAATTTAGGGTTGAATATGCGTACAGATTCAAAGCGTGCTAGTGCTCCAAAACAAGGCCAAACATACAGAAACACGCCCTCAGTTCCCATTCCAAGGAGGCAGTTTATCTAGAAATCAAACATGTGGCACACTTTGCTTCAGATTATCCTCCTGATGCACCAAAGCAGCTCCTAATCAGCTTTCACTCTAACAAATACAGATTTGTGCCGTAAGTGATGCAGAAAACAACCCACAAGCTCACTGCGCTCGCAGGAGAACAGTAACAATCGATTCCCATGCAGGTCTAAGGTGTTCTGCGTACAAAGTAAATACTGGTGCACAGAAGAATTTTGCATGGTGTGAAAACTGTAGGGATTAGAAACACTTTGTCAAAGACTGTAATACAGTATTACTGCAGTACCATAATACAGAATTGCAAAACCAAATTCTGATCACTTGAACATAAGGTGAAAGTATTACATTTTCTGTACAAATTTAAATGGAAGAATTCTTAGGAGAATCCTGGTAAGAAATAGAATAATTACTTTTACTTTTGGAAAATGCTTACCATTGTATCATTATTAACAAGAAAACGAGCATTTCTGAAATGCACTATATTAAAGCAGTATGCTTTAAAATCTTCTGAAAGCTCAATCTAAATAATCAGTATTCTGTAATTATATGTAAGAGTTTTATCCAGATTTTCATTCTGGACTGCAGAACTGTGTTAAAACACACTCAGAAATCCTGTTTTGGATGTTACTTTGCTTACTCAGACAAGCTCTGTTGATCTCAATGAGCTCTGTGTACACATAAAAGACTGATTACAAGCTGTGAAAGGCCACTGATCCTTTGTCTTTAATTTTAACCCTCAGGGAATCTGACTGACTTTCCTGAACTTTAATTCTGACATTTTCTCCACTTCTAATTCAAGCAAAGGCAGCAACTTGAAAAAACTTAGCTTCCAAAAAAGTCATACCTTTTTTTTTTCCCTGAAACAGACGATTAGTAGAGAAATTTCCTCTCGCTCCAATGAAATTAAAGAAGCCTTCTGTTCTGTGGCTGGAGAAATGGGCAGTACTGCTCAACTTGTACTGCAGCTCCAGGGATCCTAGAAGCCAGCTGCTCACAGTGACCCAACAGGTCAGGGTAAGAGGTAAATTTTGTGCTGAGTCTCCCCTGACTGGTTGGCCTTCCTCTCCTACACTCGTAACAGCTGCCAGCTCCAAGTTTCAGTCAGAAACTTCCAACACTGCTGACATAGCAGACTTGGATGCACTCCTCAGTCCCTCATGTTTTCCAGTTTACACCATTACTGCCATCGCAGCACCAAAGGGTGTAACTTTTATATCACACACAAAAAACGACGGCTGCTTCTGGACAGCCACAACCACAGTGACTGGCCCCTCGCTCAATGAGTTCGTTGTCCATGCAAGTGTCACCAGATAGCGGTCTAGGACGGGGTACAGCTGAAAACAAGTGGCTAAACATGGAGGCCACATCAATCCCACGGGTCTCGCCAGCATCCCCTGCAAAAGGCGGCAGGACGCTGGGCGGGACCGCTCCGGCCCTTGCGCTGCTGGACGGCGGGAAGGCAGCCGCGGGCAGCCGGCCAGAGGGACG